CTACATTGGAAGGTCTCCAATCACACGCTCTTTAGTCTTAGAATTCCTCATGGTCACCCCTCTCTTGCTGCTTTTTTTTCTTTCTTTCTTTCTTTTTTTTTTTTGGTCAGTCGTGGGGCCTGAACTCTGGGCCTAGGCACTGCCCCTCAGCTCTTCAGCTCAAGGCGAGCGCTCTACCACTTGAGCCACAGTGCCACTTCTGGCTTTTTGTGCTTATGTGGTGCTGAGGAATAGAACCCAGGGCCTCACGCATGCAAGGCAAGCGCTCTACCACTGAGCCACCTTCCCAGCCCCTGACCCCTCTCTTGTTTCTATACATGCCACCTGCTGTCCCCTTCTGACCGGGCCCTGCTTCAAGTCCTGGCTCTTCTTCCCTTCTGTCTCCTTCCGTCTCTATGATCTAAGTCATTCTTTCTCTGCTGTGTCTTCCTTGCCAGCTCAACTTCCCTGGGGGAAATACTATATTTGGAGTAAATTAGATCTGAGAACTCGATATATTATTGATTTTTATGAGCAAGATTATGTAAATGGCTGGTAGTCTATTATCCTCCTTCCTGAAAACTCCTTCAACTGAATTATGAAGTAGAAGTTCTTTAACAGGAGGAACACTGAGAAAAAGGTGAATTTATAATGATCAAAGCATGGCGTGTGTGTGTGTGTGTGTGTGTGTGTGTGTGTGTGTGTGTGTGTATGCTGGTCCTGGGGCTTGAACTCAGGGCTTGGGCTCTGTCCCTGAGCTTTTTTGATCCGGCTAGCATTCTATCACTTTAGCCACAGCTCCAATTCCAGCTTTTTGCCAGTTAATTGGAGACAAGAATCTCATGGGCTTTCCTGCCTGGGCTGGCTTTGAACTGAGATCCTCAGATCTCAGCCTTCTGAGTAGCTAGGATGACAGGTGTGAGCCAATGGTGATGGGCTTGCATAGGTGAATTTTTTTTAACTCTCCTGTTGGTATTTCCAGCATTATACTCAGTCCCCACACAGCCTTACCCCCATCCATTATGGAAACAATATAATTTCTGCTACCTTTTGCCCAGTCTCTCTAAATTTCTTTTTCCCTTTTCCTCCAAGCATTTTTATATGACATCTGATTAGGACTGAACTTTGAGCTTTTTTTTTTTAATTTTCTATGATTTCGGTCACAAATTACTTATTTCTTAGAACTTTCTCTGAGCTGTTAATACAAGTTCCTGGGCTTTACAATAAGATTGCATCAAAAAGATAAACACTATATATTGAAAATACTGTAATATAAACTGCTTTTTTCTCAAACTGCTTTGTTGAATGGTCATTCCTTTGTACAACCAAAGATAATAAAAATATTTTTAAAAGAAAGAAAGAAAGAAAATGCATCCAATATACCCAGCTTCATCATTCATGGATGACTAGGAAATTCTCAGGAAATCTATTACAATTGGAACCATGTTCAGTAAGGAAACATCGGCATGGCACTTTTGCTCCCAGTAAGAGTTGTTGTCCTGGTACTTTCTGGAAGCCCACAAGGTTTGCAACAGGGCTGTGTGTCTGCCCCATGCTCCTCTGCCTGTCTGATTCCACATGTGTATGTTACTTCACCCCCACCCTGCATCATTTTTACTACCATTAGGAGCACTGTCTTCAGAGTCTGCAGCTGCATGCAGCCTCCTCTCTCACGGAGCTTTGCCTCCGCATTCTCGTTTTACGACGCGTCACTCACTCAATTTTCCTTGGGTACACTCAGAAGTTTTGTCCCTAGGAAGTTGTTAACCAGCAACCTCTAATGGTGAAGTGATGGTTAAATCGGCCTGATATCCGCTGAGACGGTGCAGAACATTTTCACACGGGTATTTAATAAAGGGTGGCTGAATCTACAATCACCACCCCCCACCCACCCATATACAAAGTCATCAGCAAAAGACTCACGAGGTTATCTCCTAACTACTCAGGAGGCTGAGATCTGAGGATGGAGATTTTGAAGCCAGCCCTGGCAGGAAACTCCAGGAGATTCTTATCTCCAAGTAACCACCAAAAAGTAGAGTCATGGCTCAAGTGAGCAGAAAAAGTCCAGGGAGAACACCCAGGCCCTGAGTTCAAACCCCAGGACTGGCACCCAAACAAAAACCAAACCAAACTAAAAGACCTCTCACTTCAGACCTGAAGGAAACCTCCGGGCCCTCCGGAGACATCTAGAATCATCTGAACATGCAGAATCACACCCTCAAACAATGCACAGCGCAACACCACACAAGTAGACGTTTCCTAAAAGCAGTCTTACTCCACAGAGGCCAGCAGAACTGACTTGGGAGCAGCTACCGCCCCCTGGTGTTGATGCTGGAATAATGCACTGCCTGTGCCTGGTACCAACCTGTACCCCTCTTCAGTTCCCCAGCGGGCTGCATACATCCCTCAGAAGGGCTGAGCGAGTGATGGAGAAGACACCACTGGAATAAACTCCTGCCCTGGGGTTGACGCTCTGTGGCTCTCCAAGGCCTCTTTCCAGGAAATTCACACCGGAGCTTCCAGACTTCCCCAGCACGGAGCAAAACCTTCCACCCTCAGCCCCTTGAGGGGCTGAGATCAGGCCCCTCTTCCCCATTTCCCTTCCCTGGTTCCACACACACACACACACACACACACACACGCACGCACGCACACACACACACACACACACACACACACACACACACAGTGAGGCTCCACAGGCCCTGGCCCAGAGTTTCATACAGCTGCAGTGACTTAGGTGAATGTTTCTAGTTCACCAGTTTACGTTGAGCGCATGCTCAGAGAAGGCAAGAGGCCTGTTGGTGAGTTTTACTACCTGCACAGAGCCTTCCCGGAGGCTTCTGTGGCCTGCTCTGGATTGAACCAGAGGCTCGGTCCAGAAAACAGAGAAAGTCAGCCGCACCCCACCCTGCTGCCCCTCCCGGCCCCGCTCCAAGCTGCCATACCCAAAATAAGAAGGGTGAAATAGCAGTGGGGAAGAGAGACCGGGGGTGCCTGAGAAATCATGCCCAGCCCCCTTCCCCGGGGTGTCTGCTGACAGTTACATTTTGTATTCTTCATCTTTTTCATCATCAAGTCCCGTGGTGCACAAGAGGTCCGGTCTTCAGGTGGACGTGCGACAAACTTCACAAACGGGCACGCCTCTGTCACTATTTTTTTTTTTAATAAAACGAATAGATGAGAAATCGGCACGGATGACACCGCCGAGGGGAGCGTGTTGGAAGGATCTCCGCTCTGGCTCGGTCCTAACATGCATTGCCCAAGACAGCCAGACTCACTCCAGGGTGGGGTGCTGGACCCCTGTGTCACCTGCCCCCCCCGCCCCCACGGATGCCACTGGGAATTTCTCAAGAGGAAACAGGAAAGAAAAGGGAAAAAGGGAACAGCAGGAATGCTGAAGATCGACCCCCAACCACCTGCCATGGAGACGGTGATGGAGCTTGGAGTGACAGCATCGGAGATGGGGTCGGGTACCAGCGGTCAAGTCTCAGGTCCTGAGAAATACTTAAACGATACTTAACCCAGAAAGGCAATGCAGAAGTCAGAGCTCCAAAACTAAGTGGCATTAACCCGCAGGTCATGACAGCCACTCCTGCGCTCAAAAAGAAAAAGAACATTAGACTTTAAGTCTGCAAGATCCTTCTAACTACTCACGCAGACACCATCTTGCTAATTCCTGGCCTGATAGCTGCCTGGGAAGCTGAACTATCCCGCTGAATAATAAGGGGACCAGGCATTGATCAGCTGTCTCTTGCCATCCTAGACTCTGCCGTTCACATCACAAGAATATGGACAAAGTATATTACAGCTATGTTATACTGGCTGCCACTACGGATGTGGCATTATGTCCGTTAAAACACTGAGAAACGTTAATACACACTGGTATATTTATATATGTATATATAATATTTCTATTTGTGGGAGTCAGGGTGTCAATCGGAGCTTATATGTATTTCTTTCCTGCACAGTACAAAAAGAGAGCCCCGAATAAAGAAAAGGGCACAAAGGAAGCAGAGTAAACATGTCTAACTAGTAAAACTCATCTTGCATTTTAACCCTGAAAGTTGATCTCGGATTGAGGGAGGGCAAAGGTGTTCTAAGATGTATTCTTTCCCCCTGCTGACCTGTTTTATTAGTTCAGAGAATTACAGAAAGATAACTTGAACTATCACCAGACCTCAGGCTCTCCCCAGAACCAACAAAACACTCAAGGTGGTCATTCTTATTCTGCTTTTCAGCTTCTGGAGAGTTCTGACAGGGAAATGTAGCGCTTTGAGTTCTAGGGTGTGTTGTGCATGATGTCGTGAGCTAGTACTTGTGATCCTGCTCTGGGCAAGTTCACTGCCCCCCATCCCCACCACCATCACCCCACACCCCCAGACAGGAACACCTTAGCCTCTGGCCTTCCATGGCCAGACAGCTCTGATGGATAAAAGCTCCTTTTCCTTGGGTTCCAGTCTTCTGTCTCTTGCTGACCCTTGCAAAGAAGTTTATCCTGGGTCTGCTCTCTAACCTTCCATCCACCGCCCTGTCCCTGCACCACATTGGATCTCAGGAAAGAACTTTGTGAGCACTGAAGAGAAAAAATCTGTTCGATCATCCATTCTATTCCATCAGTCCCTGTTCAATGGCTTGTGTTCCAAAAGCCCTGAGCTAGAACACGTGCGTCACCTCCACACCTCCGGGCAGCAGGACACACGTGCACCGTGTTTCGCTGCTAGAATCCACACTTGGAAGAACTGTGGCCAGTGTGACCCCATCCCACGCCCCAACTCCCCCTCTTGTTTCCTCCTCACCTACAAAGAGAACGCCAGAGACACCGGATGCTTCTTGCAAGTGTTTCTAGGTGAAAAGCAGAGTCACGTGCCATAAGTGGTCCCATCCACGTGAGCTTCCCTAATGACCTGTGTGCTAAACGCCTCTGCTCACTGGGAGAAAAGTACCTGGATTAAAAGAGACTGCGCACGCATGCGCACACACACACAGAGGGAGTTTGCAAGGTGAATCCTGCCCGCAGCGACTCCAATGGCTATAAGAAATTTTGCTTGCTTTTCCTGGATCCCATAGTTCAGAACCTTGAATACCAGGTTCTCCCCAAATATGGCTAAAATGCTGGCAAATACTTGCAGCTACCATTTGTGCAAAGAAAACGGAAGATACTTATATACAAACTTGGTTTACAGGCTGCCTACCCCATTGAGTTTCTTAGCCTAGAGCAAAACAGGGATACATGTGATTCTTAAATGTACCATGGTATCAAGTACAGCTGAAGACTTTGGGGCAGGGGTGGAGGGAGGGAAGTTGGTCTCTAAAGATCTCGCTTATTTCGTTTTCTCTATCCGAATCTCTTCAATGCTATTATGGCAAATCTCAATGGGAGAGAGGACAATGATGTTTAAAATGTAAAAAACATTTGTATCCTGTTCTTCAACAGCCACGTGATGACTGGACTTTCCCACCGAGTGGAGGAATCCTCAGGTCACTGGGATCCCCCTGAACTCCATGAGAGTCCTTTTTCCTCTCACTGGAGACACGCAGGCTCCCTGTGTGGTGTGTATCCTGGCGTGGGAGTTCTCTTCCCACCTTAGGCCGAGGAGGATGGAGGCTAAGCACAAAGATCTGGATTTCTAAGGGGTGACTCGGGGGCCACCCCCAAATCAGTCACCTGAGTTACAAACGTTATGGACAGCTGAAGTGGGTCCTAAAGTAGAGATCACAAAGTCCACCTCTCCGCCTGTGCCAGCTGAGGTGTCGCCGTGGACAGTGGCAGGCGGGAAGTATGGCTGTATTGACATGTCCGGGCCCGAGTTTCTCGCCGTATCTTCTTCCCCACCGCTGGTTCACATCAGAACTTGCTCTCGAGTCTCGGGCAGGCGGAGGGCAATCAGGCCACCCCCAACCAGAGAAGCAGCAGCGAGGAGGATGGGGACCACCTTGGTTATCCCCACGAATGAAGCGAAGATGGTGTTTCCCAGGATGGCTCCGAACTTGCACAATCCGTTGAGGATACCAAAGGCTGTTGCCCTGCAAAAGGAGAGGAGTGGAATCAGCGCCTCAAACCCTTGCACCTCGTTAGATGGAGAAGACAGGAGGCTTTCCTGGTTGCGACACATTCTTGCTTTAGTCAAAATTAGAAATAAGGAATAATGTGAAGATGGAAAGAGATCTAAAGCTGTCGCTGCTATCAACATTTTGGAGAATTGCCCTCAGGCTTTAAAAACAAACAAACAATCTTTTCTAATTCATCTCTTCTTAAACGGCTTAAAGGTAGAGCTCCTAGTGCCGGATTGAAGAATAAAGCAGAGATGTGTTGGTGTCCCTGCTCCATAGCACCCTCTAGTGGCAGCAAACTATCCCTATAGGCCACTTCTCCGCATGTGAAGACTACATTTCCCAGGCCCCCTTGCTGCTGCCGGCCAAGTGACTTCTTCTCGACCAATGAGATGGAAGGTAAGTGGCAGCTACTGAGGAAGAGGCATTCTAAGAGACATCCTGAGTGGCCTTCAGCTCTCTAGTCTTTAATCTCCTTATTTAGTTATTGTTCATTTTTGTTCAGGCTTAATCTCTGGAAAAAAGATGGCTCTCATCCTGGGGGATATTATTTGGGGTTTCTCTCCAGGTTACTGTCTGTCAAACCTATTAACCCTTAGCCTGCCATCATGACCTCATCTATAATACCAGGGCAGTATTTCCAGCACCACCCCCTTCTCAACTAATTCTTGCCAAAGGCCAACAGCCTCAGCCTATTTCTGCACTCTTTGCTTTGCTATTTACAGCTGAGCCACTCCATAGCTTTGTAACCCGGAACCTAGTGTTTTTGTGTGTAATACTCTCTGGTATATGTCTTCACATGCATGCTTTTCCAAACACATAGTTCGGGAATAATTTCTTTCCCCAAACTCCTAGAGGGAAGATGTACTCGTGTATGTTAGGGGACAAAAAAATCAAAGCTTGTCAAAACAGGAGGTATCATGACATAAACTGAAATCGTTGCTGTCTTCACAGATTCCTGGTTTTTGTCTTGTGGCTGTTTCATACGGATGCCAAAGGATGTTATCATCAGATGGACTTTAGTGGCCTTTTTAACTTTTTTTTCTCCTCCATGTATACAAACACATATGTCATTAAGTTGGTTCCTTACTGACAACCTTCTACTTGTCCCTTTAGCTCACTCTCATGAGTTTCCTAGGTGTCATTCTAGCCAAATAATGATCATTGATCATCTTCCCTCCCCTTATTATTATTTTTTTTGAAAAAAAAAAAAAGATGGGTGGCATAATTTTCCATAGCTCCCCAAGTCCTGCTACCTCTGTCGCTAATGTGGGGGTATATCATTAGTGTGTTTTTCAGAATTCCATTTACACATATCCCACACTCTTTCATCTTTTTGACCACGGGTCCACCATGGTCATCCTTAAATTTCGCAATGCCTCTCGGTGAGAAGAAACAGCTACTGAGTCCCAGTGTGAACTGTAGGCCTATAAATGAGGCCCTTTGCCACATGGCTTGCCTATAACGAAGGTAAACTTTGGGCATCCCTGCCATAGGCTCTATAAGCACCTTGGATTTTCATTCCTCCTTCCCACCTTTACTTCTCTTTGCTCCCTGTGTTATTCCAGCTCTCCCCTCCCCTCTCTCCCACACACAGGTGTATTCTCGCCTCTCTTTTTTTTTTTTTTTTTGGGTCCGGTCGTGGGGCCTGAACTCTGGGCCTGGGCACTGTCCTTCAGCTCTTCAGCTCAAGGCTAGCGCTCTACCACTTGAGCCACAGCGCCACTTCCGGCTTTTTTCTTTTTGCTTATGTGGTGCTGAGGAATCAAACCCAGGGCCTTGAGCATGCAAGGCAAGCGCTCTACCACTGAGCCACCTTCCCAGCCCCTCGCCTCTCTTGATTACACAGCCCTCTTCTCCCTCTTTCCCCTCTCTCTTGGATGTAATCTGCTCTTGGCTTTTGTTCCTTACCCTAGGATCTCAGGCCCTCGGCCACCGCCTCCACGCCTCCACCAGGTGCTGAAAAACCCAACAACTACCCCAGGGCTGTTTGGTGCATGACCACCTGGGACCAAGATGGCCGCCCATGGTGTGGGAATTAGTGGTAGACAGACGTCCACCCACACAGGTCCTGGAGGGGGACCCCCTCCCCCTCCCCCGGGGAAGAACTGACCTCTGGTTGGTGGGGTACAGCTCCACTGTGATCACACCCAGGGCGTTCCAGGCTGCGATGCTGGTGCCACAGAACAGACATTGCCAGCCGATCATCGCAGACTCGCTGTTGCCGAAAAACAGGAAGAAGCAGCAGACGGCTGAGATCAGCATGGACCCCCCTGCAGAGGGAACGAAGGTTGACGGGGGGGTCTTGAGCAAGTCTGTCACCCCCAGGGACTAGCCCATCTCCCCACAGAGGTAAGCCTGAAGTGCCCGTGGCGGGGGGGGCGGGGGGGGGTGGGAGGGGCGGCCCAGGTGACACCTCTGGCGGCTCACCCATCATCTTCAGCCTCCCGACTCTGTCCATGAGCAGGGCAGAAATGATGTTCCCGGGCAACACGGACAGACTGCCCAGGAAGCTGACGAGGTAAATCAGGAAGTCGTTGTCTTCCTCGAAGTCCATGTGGCAGCCCTCCTTCTGCTCCAGGAAGGTGGTGTTGATGAAGCGGCAGTGGATGAACTTGTGCTTGTAGAGGTCTGCGGAGAGCAGGAGGGAAGCCTTTGGTTGGTGGGAGTTGGGGGGGGAGAGGAGGGCCGGAAGGAAGTCCTGCACACTGGTGATCACAGATCGGAGCGACACATGGCCAAGAGTGGATGACTGGAGATACCTCCAGAAGGATAACAACCTGCCACATCCCCACCCTAGGGAAGAGTGAGCCTCCCGTTAACTTGAGGGTCATTGCTAAGTCCTGGGTGGTGTTTGAACCCGCTGGGTGACACAGAGGATATCTGCGGCCAGCTCACTCAGCGCGAGGCTCCTTGGCTTCGGAACCCGTAAGACGGACATGGAGTCCAGAGTCACGGGAGATTTAACCTGAGCTTTTGCTTCTGTTTTATATATGATCGAAACTGAGGGGTAGCCGGGCACTGGTGGCTCACGCCTGTCATCCTGGCTACTCAGGGGGCTGAGATTGGAGGATCACAAGTTGAAGCCAGCCTGGGCAGGGAAGTCCGTGAGACTCTTATCTCCAATGAACCACCAGAAAACCGGAAGTGACACTGTGGGCTTAAGATGTTAGAGTGCTGGCCTTGAGCTGAAGAGCTCAGGAAGGGTTGAAGAGCTCAGGAACAGCACCCAGGCCCAGAATTCAAGCCCCACTTGACCAACCACAAAACAAGCAACCGAGAGGCAGATCAACTAAGTTCCTTGGTGAATTCTGTGCACCTAATGTAAGCCAACTCTGAGGCTAAAATCCATTTCTCCTCCCGAAGGCTCAGCACCGGTGTCTACCAATGCCTTCTTTTCCTGCAGCCCCTAGCTACATCCTGGTCACACCCACCCCGGTCACGTGCTCCTGGAACTGTGTGTGTTCTCACCTGTGTTATAAAAGAAGGTGGATTCGATGGTGCAGTTCTTGAAATAGGTATCCGTCGAGGTGACGTCTTCGAAATAACACTTGTCAAAATACGTGTCCTCAAAGAGGACGTGTTTAAAGTACATCTTTGTGAACCTGTGGGGACGGACCGCATATCCCTGGGTGAGTCATCCGACACAGTTTTTAAGAAAGGAGATTTGAACCCAGAGTGGAAACAAAAATTTAGAAAGGCGAGACCAAGAACCCTAAGATGACAGATTCCAGAGCATAACTTTCTAATGAAACCCGTTTCCCCGTCAGGCTCTGGGGTTTGCCAAGATGAGGCGGTGCAATCTCCCTCCCCGCCAGCAGATGGCGGCGCAGCTCAAGAAAAGAAGCAGAGAACATTTTTATGGAGTTTCCTTGCTTTGTTGTTTTTTGAAATCAGTGTCAATGGTTCCTCTCAGGCAGATAAAGCTGCGGACTGGCGCACGGCCCTGCTCGGGGAGGGTGGCGTCGCTTGTGATTTGTTATTGGAATTATTGTCACTGTCATTGCCATTATTAATTCCTTCATGTCACAACAGAGCCTGGCTGAACCCTGGGAGTCTGGTAGAGGGGGCTCCTCTCTCTCTCCCCCTATCCCTCTCCCTCCTCCTCCCCCTTTCCCTCTCCCTCTTCCTCCCCCTTTCCCTTCTCCTCCCCCTTCCCCTCCCCCTCTCCCTCCTTCTCTCTTTCTCTGTCTGTCTGTCTCTGTGCTCTGTGTCTGTGTCTGTGTCTCTCTCTGTCTCTCTGTCTCTGTCTCTGTCTCTGTCTCTCTCTCTCTCCACACTAAGTGGATGTCTAGCTATCTGCACATCCCTTTGTCTCCAAAGTCTGTTCTTAGAGCAAGGGCAGCATTTTCACTTTGGTATACTCAGAGCACCATTTCTGACTCTTGGGAGAGTGCTCAGAGCACTCACTGTCCAAAGAGCTATGCCCTCCTTGCCTGCCTTCTGTGACTGTAACCCTCTGTCCATCACTTCTACAGTCTGGGGGGGGGGAAATCTTTTTAAAGTGCTCAGAGGACAGAGCACCTGGGGGAAGCTGCCGTCCACTCCCTCCAGCCTTGGGTTTGTGTCTCCACAGTGGCCACTCTAGGTAGATTACAGGAACTCGGCCCTGTCTATGCAGTGTGTGTGGACATCTGGACATGGGGGGGAGGAGGGCAGATATTTGACATTGAGCTTCAGCATCTTAAAAAAAAAAAAAAAAAAAACTATCTGAAGTGAGGTGCTGGTGGCTCACACCTGTCATCCTAGCTACTCAGGAGGCTGAGATCTGAGAATCGCGGTTCAAAGCCAGCCCAAGCAGGAAAGTCCGTGAGATTCTTTTCTCCAGTGAACCACCAGAAAAACCGGAAATGGAGCTGTGGCTCAAAGTGGTGGAGCACTAGCCTGGAGCAGAAGCAGCTCAAAAACAGCACTCAGGCCCTGAGTTCAAGCCCGATAACCAACAAAACAAAACAAAAAGGCTAGCTGGAAATTTTGAGCACCATTTTTAATGAACTATCCTGAGTCCTACATGTTCCTCTCCAAGACAAAAGATCCAGAGCTAAGCCTTCTCCAACGGCCACATCTTTGTCGAGAGAACATTCTCCTTCGGGCCTGCACATTCTCAGCTCATACCACAGCGACCCTTCACACCTGCCGAGATCGGTGCAAGCCACGTAGGGCCGGGGCCTCCTCAGACCTGACCCACGCCAGACAGGTGCGGCTGGGGGAGGGGTGGGCGCGTGCCCCGGCCGTGGGAAGTCGGGGCACCGAGTCCACAGTGGTAAGTACGGAGTGGCTGGTGTCACGGACGTGGGGTCCTGGGGCCGGTGTTCCCGCCACCAGCCCGTGACCCGTGACCGTCTTCCCACTCCTCAGTCACAGCCCAGTGGGCCTGCGCAACACATTCCAGAAGACTCTGAGCTGCTCAGCGTCAGCAGCTGATGCACCTCAGAGTGACATCTCCACTGTGCTGCGGCTCAGACGGAGGGAGGACACGGAGAGGGACTTCCCTCCTAACACTAGGCAGCCAGTGTGCTCCCCGCACAGCCCTGGATGACCACAGAGCAGCGATCAACCCTACGAGATTCGTACCGGGTGAAAGGCCAGGGCTGTGGCATCCCAGCAGGGGGAACCTTCCAGAATCAAAGCAGTGTAGCTCGACAGGCAGGCCATAGGTTATTTCTGTCAGCAGTGAGAGCTGTTGGCTGCTAGTTTCTGGGTCCCCTGAGTAGCCTGTGCATGCACGCATACACACATGCACATGCACATGCATGCACACGCACACGCACACATGCACGCAACCTCGCAAGCCAGTGAGCTTGCTGACTTCACTTCTAGAAGGGAATAGAAACTTCTTGAATATGGCGGGGGCATGGGCATGGATGGCCTTGTGATCCTGCCCGCACAGTGATCAGGTTCTGGGGACACGTGGCCGGGTGACCGTCCTCAGGGGAATGGCTGCACCCTCCTCGGATGAAGCCGGGGTGGTGAGGGGCAGGAGGGTGACTGGGGGATCAGCCTCAGTCGCCCTGGATCGGACGGGTGTGCGAGGGGCCAGGCCAGCACCGTGAGTGTGCGCGTGCACGCTTACTTGTCGTTCACCAGCTTCCCGTGCTGGTGGATCTGGTTTTCCATGGTGAAGTTGATCGTGGCGCCGTACACATGCTCCCCGAAAAACACTTTCATCTTCGACTTGTATTCTTCATCTTGAAAGTAGCGGATCATGTCGGGAAACCAGACGGTCAGCCCGTAGTAACTGCAGCGGAGAGGACAGAGCATCTGAGCTGAGCCTCGAGATTCGGGAGGCGGGGGGGAGGGGGGGGGGAGGAGGGGCAGGGAGCACCCAGCTCGCTGTCAGTGCTGCGACTCCGTCTGTGATCAGAAAATCTAGCAAGACAGAACTCGGCAAATTCATAGGCGTAAGGACAAAATCATGACTGGCTCCACAGAGGCTAGGAAAGCACTACGAAATTCATTTCTGATTAAAAAGAAAAAAAACTCTAATAGATTATGGGCTCATAGACACTTTCTTAACACATAGGGAAAAAAATGAGATAGCTCAGCTCAAAAGCTAGAAGCTTAATGAATAAGGAAATATGATGCTAGGGACAAGACAAGACACCCAGTGGCACTACTAAAACTATGGCTATTTGCCTTCCTGCTGTAGATCTTGGCCAACTGGTTAAATAAGAGAGAAAACGGTGTGTGTGTGTGTGTGTGTGTGTGTGTGTGTGTGTGTGTGTGTGTGCATAGATAAGCATATAGATAAGTATATGTATTACCTATCTACATATCCTATATACATATATGTGAATGCAAAATCACAAAACAAAACTATTTCTGTTGGCAAATGATACTATTTTATGCCTGGAAAAAAAATACGTTCAGTCCTACCGATAATAAGAAAACTACAACTTAAAACCGTATTGTTCCCTTCTCAGCGATGAGCCTGTCCAAACCTCAAAGTCTTCTCTCTTGGTGAGACTGTAGGTTGTAGGTTGACAAGTGCTTTCCCTGAATTTCCTGTTCTTCCAGAGCGTTACTCTTCTGGGAACTGATCCATTGATGAGCCTGCCCCAATTCAGAGTGGCCTGCAAACAGGATTCCTCATTGTGGAAACTTCCTGCATTCTGGTGACAAGGCCCTGGCATAGGATAAGGCCCTGTGATATTTTACTGTAGGTCGCTAGGCAGTAGCCATAAAGAAGAATAAAGAAAACCCTGAGGGGGCCGGGCGCTGGTGGCTCACACCTGTCATCCCAGCTACTCAAGAGGCTGAGATCTGAGGATCACAGTTCAAAGCCAGCCCCGGCAGAGAAGTCTGTGGGACTCTTATCTCCACTTAACCACCAAAACCTGCAAGTGGCGCTGTGGCTCTAAGTGGTAGAGCACCAGCCTTGAGCAAAAAGAGCTCAGAGATAGTACCCAGATCCTGAGTTCAAATCCCACAATCAACAAAAAGAAAGAAAGACGGAAAGAAAGGAAAGAAAGGAAGGAAGGAATTCCTGTATTAGTCCACACACAGCTCCAGACTAGGTCATAGAATACAAAAAAGCAAATGCAAAGTATGTTCTTTTGAATAAGAAAAGGAGGAAGAAATAAATAAGCATATATAATTATTTGCTTGCACATCGCTGGAAGGACGCATAGAAAATCCACAACGATTACGTACAGGAGGCAGAAGGAAGTGGGGCGGGGGGGCAGAGGGTACAATGCTGATTGTTGCTCCAACATTGCAATCCATCACCTAGGCCAGGAAATGAAGTTACCCACGAATAAATAGAAATAAGGTGTTTTTCTTTAAAACAAAACCAAACCTGTCATCATCCAGTGTCGTTGGCTTTGAAAACAAACAAACATTCTCTCCTAGTTGGGCTGGGAGCATTTGAGGCGGGGCAGGGCCAGGCTTCCCTGGTAATGTCTCCATCTGAGTCTAGAAGGCCAGCACTCCAGGTGCTGACACTTGATGGTGACCCTCAATGAGTCCAGGAGACCACGATGTGGGCGCCCGAGTTGGGCAGAACTTACCTTAACGCCAAGGTGAACCAGACCACGGCCAGGATGAGGGTGTTCATTCTGAAGGGGCCCAGCACGCAGTACAGCGCGTTATCCCAGACCTGTGGCACGGATCAGAGAAGGGGGGTTGGAAGAGCTCATCTCTCGGATGGTCCCCAACAAGCTGAGGGCACAGACCCCTGCGTTTCTCCCTGACGCGGGCAGCTCTGACCCATGACCAAGGGAATTCATCTCCCCTCGCTGGCCGCTCTCCAGAGAGCGCGTACGATGATGTGACTGAAAGCGCCCTGAGTTAGGATGTCACAGCACTACCTTACGGAGAGTCGTGAGCTCTGCTCCTTGACTGTGGGCATGGGTGGGAATCTAAACGTTTACTGTCCATCCATCCTGAGCCCCATGCGGTCTCCCTAGACGGGTAGCTGCTCAGCTACCCCAACTCCCAGCAGCTGACTTATTCCCTGCCTCCAGGGTCCAGCTCCCTGGAGAAAAGGTATTTTCCCCCAGAAAAGAATCACCCTCTGGGCGCTGGTGGCTCACACCTGTCAGCCTAGCTACTCAGGAGGCTGAGATCTGAGGATCGCAGTTCAAAGCCAGCCCAGGCAGGAAAGTCTGTGAGACTCTAATCTCCAATGGTTGGAGACCAGCAGCAAACCAGAAGTGGTGCTGTGGCTCAAGTGGTAGAGCGCTCTCCTTGAGCCGAAGAGCTGAGGGACAGCGCCCAGGCCCAGAGTTCAGGCCTCATCACCGACACGGAAAAAAAAAATCACCCTCAGGTCTCTTAACGCTCCCTCCAAGAGCCATGGGTTTCACTCTCTCTTTTCTTTTCCTGTGGATTAAATGGATACTTCTAGAGAGAGGGGTATTGACTCAGACTAGTCAAACCCCCAGCCTTGGAAAAAAGCAGAGCAAAGAAAAGATACAGAGGTTTGAGAGTTTGCACCCCCGGGACAATATGGCCAGTTGGAGACACACATGGGCTGGAAGCGAACATCCCGAACCAGAGCTGTGTCCTCTGCATCGCAATCGTGCTGCCTTAAAAGCTGTGGCCTCTGTTCTCACCCACTAAGCCTTCCCACGCCAACCGCGCCACCTTCCACTGGACACACATCCCCCCACCCCCGACTGTACCTGCTTGAACGTGGTGGTGAACCTGACCAGCCAGCGCTGGTACCAAGTTCCTGTTGAACTTTGGATCTCGATGAATTCATCCATTTGCTTGGGTGTTTTGATGTGGGAAACCTGGAAAGCAAAAGAAAGATGTGGGGGGGAAATATATTTGTTTCTATTATCATTTTTCTAACGGACGCTACCTGAGGGAAAACCTAGAAAGACATCCATCGAGATGCAAGGAATAATCATGACAAAGTGACAGGAAGGAGAGACAGGACTGTGATGGAAGTATTGGAAGGATGATCTTCTTTGGGCACAGCGGCTGTTACAGGAAGCCGCGTGGTGGGAAAGGGCAGCTGGCGCACAGTGTGAACACCTTCCCGGGATTCCCCCGTGGCTCACACTCGGTGTGAACACCTTCCCGGGATTCCCCTGTGGCACACACTCAGTGTGAACACCTTCCCAGATCCCCCATGGCTCACACTCAGTGTGAACACCTTCCTGGTATTTCCCCATGGCACACAGTGTGAACACCTTCCCGGGGATCCCCGTGGCACACAGTGTGAACACCTTCCTGGGATTCCCCCATGGCACACAGTGTGAACACCTTCCCGGGATTCCCCCGTGGCTCACACTCGGTGTGAACACCTTCCCGGGATTCCCCTGTGGCACACACTCAGTGTGAATACCTTCCCAGATCCCCCATGGCTCACACTCAGTGTGAACACCTTCCCGGTATTTCCCCATGGCACACAGTGTGAACACCTTCCCGGGGATCCCCGTGGCACACAGTGTGAACACCTTCCCGGGATTCCCCCGTGGCTCACACTCAGTGTGAACACCTTCCCGGGATTCCCCCATGGCACTCAGTGTGAACACCTTCCCGGAATTCCCCCATGGCGCACACTCAGTGTGAATACCTTCCCAGGATTCCCCCGTGGCGCACACTCAGTGTGAACACCTTCCCGGGATTCCCTCGTGGCGCACACTCAGTGTGAACACCTTCCCGGGATTCCCCCATGGCACTCAGTGTGAATACCTTCCCGGGATTCCCCCGTGGCGCACACTCAGTGTGAACACCTTCCCAGGATTCCCTCGTGGCGCACACTCAGTGTGAACACCTTCCTGGGATTCCCCCGTGGCTCACACTCAGTGTGAACACCTTCCTGGGATTCCCCCATGGCACTCAGTGTGAACACCTTCCCGGGATTCCCCCGTGGCTCACACTCAGTGTGAACACCTTCCTGGGATTCCCCCATGGCACTCAGTGTGAACACCTTCCCGGGATTCCCCCATGGCGTGTACTCAGTGTGAACACCTTCCCAGGATTCCCCCATGGCACTCAGTGTGAACACCTTCCCGGGATTCCCCCATGGCGCACACTCAGTGTGAATACCTTCCCAGGATTCCCCCGTGGCGCACAGTGTGAACACTTTCCGGGGATCCCCGTGGCTCACACTCACCGTGAACACCTTCTCAGGGGTCCCCTTGGCCCTCATGTTGGTGTCGTGGACTTGTTTGAGAATCATCCAGGCCTCGTCATGCTTACCCATCTGGAAAAACCCAAGAATGACACAGGAGCCCCCAAGGGTGAAGTGTTCAATCTCATGTTCAATCTGGAAAACCCTACAGGCCCAGACAGGGTGCAACAGCCTTGAGTCTGGAAAGATCGGGTGTGGACCAGTGACCACATGAGGGCCTGAGAAGGATTAGGATGAGTCTCCACCTCCCGGCCGCCCGTCTTGGGTGAATAGCAAAGTCGCACCTTCCAGGCTGGATGGGCGGTGGGGTGAGGTCCTGCCCCTCGCAGTGATCACTTGGGAAAAGGGTAGGTGGGGGTGTGACTGGCTAGGGTGAAGTCGGCCCAGCACGGTGGACGGGGCCTCTAATCTCACCTCGAGCAGAAAGCGGGGGCTCTCGGGCATGAACTTCAAGGCCACCGCGGACACGGCACAGGGCAGCACACAGACGATAACGAACACCCTCCAGCTGTGGAAGTGGTAGCTGGTCCCCATGCTGAAGCCCCAGCCTGTGGAGAAGCAGATGGTTGGTGGCAAACAGTCTCTTCCTCAGGCAGAAGAGTAACCCAAAAAGCACTGAGGACAAATGTAGATCTTCCCTATGACCTAGCCATACCACACCTGGGCCTCCAGCCAGAGCATCATAAGCCAGGGTACCATAAAGACGCCCACACACCCATGTTCACTGCTGCACTACTCACAAGAGCCAAGTGGTGGAGATGGCCCAGGTGTCCTACAATAGATGAGTGGATCCGACAATGTGGTTCCCATACATACACTGGGAAGAGCCTGGGCTTTTGCAATCACATAGATAAAGGTTCAAGTCCTGGCATTATCACTTTGTTACCAGAATATCGAGTCTGAATGCAAGTGATGATTGCTCCACAGATTTTTTTTTTAACCTGTGAAAGCTCCTGTTAGCCCATAATAACTCACCTGCTTCTTAGGTAGATTTGATTTTTTTTTTCTTTAGAAATAGCTACATGAGGGGCTGGGAAGGTGGCTCAGTGGTAGAGTGCTTGCCTTGCATGCATGAGGCCCTGGGTTCGATTCCTCAGCACCACATAAGCAAAAAGCAAAAAGCCAGAAGTGGTGCTGTGGCTCAAGTGGTAGAGCACTAGCCTTGAGCTGAAGAGCTGAGGGACAGCGCCCAGGCCCATAGTTCAGGCCCCATGACCAGACCACCCAAAAAAAGTAGCTACCTGATATTTAGTGCTAAGGATGTTATATTAAAAAGATCAGAAAAAGAACTATATTTTTTTAAGACCAGGAGTATAAAATAGACTGACGACACTTGATGCATAAAAGACAAAACTGTATTGCTGGGTACCAGAGGCTCACATTTGTAATCCTAGCTACTGAAGACACTGATATCTGAGGATTGTGGTTCGAAGCCAGCCTGGGCAGGAAGGTCAATGAGACTCTTATTTCCAATTAACCACCAAAAAGCCAGAAGTGGATCTGTGACTCAAGTGGTAAAATGCTAGCCTTCAACAAAAGAGCTCAGGGACAGTGCTCAAGCTCTGAGTTCAAGTCTCGGCACTCATTCTCACATGCACATGAGTACACACACACACACACACACACACACACACACACACACACACACAGGGGTAAAACTATGTAAACACTGAGTTCTAATTTTAGAGGGTAGTAATGATTTGGAGATAAAATTCCCAATTCCTTTCCTTAGAAAACATGCTGAGCATGATGGCTCATACCTGTGATCCTAGCTACTCACAAGCTTGAGATCTGAGGAACAAGGTTCAAAGCCAGCCAGGGCAGAAAAAGTCCATGAGATTCTAATCTCCAATTAACTAGCAAAAAGCCAGAAATGGAGGTTTGTTGCAAGAGGTAGAGTGCCAATCTTGAGCAGAAAAAAGCTTCTCAAGAGTAAAAGTCCCTGAGTGCTAGCCCAAGTTCTGGCATACACACACACAAAAATATATATATGATAGATAGATAGACAGACAGATAGACAGACATAATTCATGGATAGATAGATCGATAGGTAGATACTTATATGTTGGGAGCCGACAGTAAAGTTTAAAGGTCATCTTGACCCTGGTGCTCACTTGAAGGCATGTACAAGGAGCTGGCTTTCTTGAAAAACACCAGGTGCCCGGGATTGCTCTGCTATGTCTGCAGAGTTTGTTTTACTTTCTACCAGCTGACCTTGTCCTGTTTTTACTGCACTCTGTTTTTACTGAAATTTTCCTTGTTTTTCTGGACTATTGTAACCTTATGTTACCTCTTGACTTCTAATAGTATATATTAGGGAAAGTTAAAAATAAACGCTGCAGTCTTGAGCTGCAGACCTCCCGACCCCATCCTTTGTCTTATTTTTCTCGTCCTCGCCCCCTAATTCAGGATTCCCTTTTGTTGCCAGCAGGCTCCGGCACATATATACATATAGACAGACAGATAGATAAACAGATAATGAACAGAAAAAAGGTAGCTGGAAGGATGGATAGATGGATAGATCGGTGGGTGGATGGATAGACAGATAGATAGACAGACAGACAGATAAGGTTGGCTGCTCATTTTGTGTAACTACCTCTGTGACACAACTTACCCTACCGGCAGGTGACCCTAGCCAGTATCCAGGGTTCCTACCACTGTTTCCTTCTCTGTCTCTGTGGGGAAGGGATCGGACAGAGGAGGCAGAGCGCCACGGGGACGTGGCGACTCGGGCATGGTCTGCCGCAACAGTGGCACCGACTCATTCCGAGTCTGTCTGTTGGCACAGCGTGGTGCAGTGCCATCTCACTGGGGTTTGTTTCCTCCTTTTAATTTTAATTAAAAAGCCTTGCCTGCTTTCAGGGGACAACTCGGAAGAGAGATTTTTTAAAAAACACAAAACAATAGCATTATTTACACATCCTCAGCTCGTGTCCAAAATCTGTTCTGGCCTCATTAGAAATAAATCATCAGAAAACACCCAACAGCCAAACACGGCATAACCGGGGAAGACTGAGCAGCAGAAGGAAGCACCCTGCCCTGGAAAGACATTTTTTTTCAGTCTTTATAATGATATGCACACAGTATCCAGAATCCACTATTCCCTCATGCTTCTGTGGTTTTTATGGTAATTTCAGTAACCTGCCTTTAGTGTGTTCATTACACACATCTTTGGGGCCTCAAATTGAATACAATTAAATGGTAAACTGCCCCCAAATATTTGGAACGATACTGATTCGGAGGCAGAAATCGTCCTGTGACAGTTAGCTTGCCCTACTTGTAAGGCCGAACACCACACACACCAGCCACAAGGAGAATGAATCTTCCAGAGTAGAACATCTTTTTGTTGTGTTTTTTTTTTTTTTCCCTGGGCCATGCCCATGAGTGTCTGGGAAAGCCTTCTGAGCTTTGCGGCTTTCCCTCTCCACGAGTCATCTCAATGCCTGATGCCAACATCTCCCCTCATCCATTCCTACAAAAGCAACCAAAGAGGTGGCCCGGACCGTCCACACACGCACACAGGCACATACACACACAGCAAACCCCTTCCCGCACTGCCCTCACGTGGGTTAGAGGGGCAGTGTCTTAGCTAGAAATGTCATCGACTGTCTGCTGTGCTGTGAATAAAACAGTTTTGTGCTGGTAAAAAGTAAATAAATAAGTAAGGCTTAAATTATTGCCCTTATTATAATATAGCCTAGCCCACCAGATTTCTAGAATGGGTTTCCACCAAACCAATGCCTGTTTTGATTAATGTTCTGTTTGAACATAGAGTATAAAAGTCACTGATTTCATACGGGAAAGTGTATGAAAAATGTGCCAGATAGACAGACAGATAGACAGGTATAGATAGATAGACAGACAGACAGATAGTAGATAGATAACAGATAAATAGACTGGTAAAAGATAGATCGATAGATAGATAGATAGATAGATAGATAGATAGATAGATAGATAGATAGATAGATAGATAGATAGATAGATAGATAGATAGATAGATAGATAGAAAGATAGAAAGATAGATAGATGGATGCTTGGAAGTACCCCACATAAAGAAGAGGAAGAAGAAGAAGAAGAAGAAGAAGAGGAGGAGGAGGAGGAGGAGGAGGAGGTGGTGGAGGAGGAGGAGGAGGAGGAGGAGGAGGAGGAGGAGGAGGAGGAGGAGGAGGAGGAGGAGGAGGAATTTGTTTTTTACAAAACAAATAGGAAAACATTTTGTCCACCTGGGATAAAACGTTTATAACGCCTCCACCAGCCATGGCGGTGCACACTGGTAATCAACGAGGAAGATGAGGAAAGAGGATCACAAGTTCCAGACCAGCTGGGGCTACCCCTTTAGCTCGGCTCCAGGGGCTCACGTCTGTAATCCTAACTATTCAAGAGGTTGTGATCTGAAGATCACAGTTCAAAGCCACCCCAGGCAGGAAAGTCTATGAGACTCTTATCTCCAGGTAACCACCTGAAAACTGGGAGTGGAGCTGTGGCTCAAGTGGTAGAGCACTAGCTTTGAGCAAAAAAATTTAGGGACAGCTCCCAGGCCCTGAGTTCAAGCCTCACAACCAACAGGAATAAAAACAATTCACTACCTCTAGGATTTGAAAACCTACTGGATTTCTCAGCCAGCGAAAGGAAAAATGACTAGGACTAGTGAAGTAATGCACTGAGCTGTTTTCCAGCTACTTCTATCACTAGCCAGTTCTCTGTAACATTTCATACAAAATTGCAAGCTCCTAATAGCAATTGTTTCCTCCATCCAAATCCATGTTTTAAAGTCCCATGAACTATGCTGCTGGTTATAAGATCTTGGAAAATCCTCCCCTTGCACACACAATTCTTGGTAAACTATTTCCTGTGTTAACCAAACCCAGATGTGTTAACACTAAGAAGCTATTTCCACTGGTTTTGTGTGTGTGTGTGTGTGTGTGTGTGTGTGTGTGTGTGTGTGTGTGTGTTTATTGGTTGGTTGGTGGTGCTCAGGTTTGAACCCAGGGCCAGGGCCTTGCTTTTTTTTTTTTTTTTTAAGGCAGGTGCTCTATTGAGCATTGACATCATGAATGGGTGTGTAACGTTCGATGGTTTTGTAGGACAATGACAGTGATACACGGGAGCTGTACGTGAATACAGCAACAAGACGAAGGTGCTGGGCTCTTTGAAGCCAGGGTCTCACCGTAGTGGGGAATGATACTCCAGGCCATGGCCGATGCGTAAAGACCCCCAGCCATCCAGAAGATTCCCAGCCAGCTGAGGTGTTCTCCTCGCTTCTCCCGAGACAAGAATTCAGAAAAATAAGCAAAAACAATGGGCAGGGAACCTCCAATCCTGCAGAGAGAAAAAGCCCAGAAAGAATCAAATTAGATACTAAAAATGCTTATGGCAAAAAAAAAAAAAAATTGATCATGCACAGTTTTGCAGCTGAACAGAGCTGTTTACCCTGTGTGGGGTGGAAGGAAAATAGAGAATCCTTTTATTGGTGGTGGTGGTGGTGGTCGTGGAGCTTGAACTCAGGGCCTGGGCGCCGTCCCTGGTTCTTTTGCTCAAGGCTAGCACTCTACCACTTTGAGCCACAGTGCCACTTCCAGCTATCTGGTGGTTCACTGGAGATAAAGAGTCTCACGGACTTTCCTGCCCAGGCTGACTTTGAACCACAATCCCCAGATCTCAGCTTCCTGAGTAGCCAGGATGACGGGCATGAGCCACCAGCGCTCAGCCTAATAGACAATCTTGAGAGCCAAAATACTCAGTCTAAGGTTTCAGGAAAGAGCACACACACACACATCAGGAGTACCAGGACAGATGGACTTGAGCTAGGGCAGATGGACCAGGACGTATTCTAGTTCAGGACACTGTGAGAGGGCAGTTCAAGGTCACTGAGTCATACCCTATGCCCGAGATGAGTCTGCAGAAGAGGAAGGCTCCGTAGCCCTGCACAAAGGAGGAGAGGGAGGCGAAGCAGGCGTTGATGGCCAGAGACATGCTGAGGACTCTCTTCCTCCCCAGCTTATCAGCCAGGCCCCCCAGGACGAAGGCCCCCGCCATCATTCCTAAGTAGACTATCAGCCCTGTGAAGAGGGGACACAGAGGGACAGATGGGAGAGAGATGACCTGGTATTAGTCACATCGGAGGTTTAAAAGATCTATTACTCCATCTGTTTTTAACCCACCCTAGAAAGTCCATGTCATAGAGGTAGAAAACAGAAGGTGATACACTATCCATGGCAAATTAGTAGTTACAACTTTTGATACATGTAGCCTCACCAGTTTTCCCTAGACACACACACGCCAACACAGATCAACTGAAATTGGATAGACCTACCGTTCTTAAAGACTTATAGATGAGTAACTCACAGACAGTCCTTGAACTACAAAAAGTTCTGCCCCGGAGAGAGATGTTGAAAGAGAAGATTTCTGGGGTGAATTGCAGCCACAGACATACAGGGACAAGGAAAGGGAGACCACGATATAACAGAAAAAGAGTGAAAGCTAATGGGACTGGATGTCTTACTGAACAGTGATGGAAAACCCAGCTATAATCAAGGTCCAGACCTTGCAGCAAAATGGATGTGAGAGAGCCCTTCTGCATGTATGTGGGGGTACTCAGTGTCCCCAACACCATTTATTGGGGGGAGGGGACTACATCTGTATCAAGGATTAATTGACTATAAATTTAAGATCTAGTTCAGATTCTTTATTCTGTTCCATCATCTATATATATTTTAATTCATTTATTGTTATTGTAAAGGTGATGTACAGAGGGTTACGGTTACGTAACTCAGACAAAGAGTGCATTTCTTTTGAACAATGTCACCCCTTCCTTCATGCTCTCCTAGTTTTTCCTTCCCCTCCCCACCCACAAGTTGTATAGTTCATTTTCAACACAGTATCCAGTGAGTATCGCTGCTTTATTTGTTCACCCTTTGTCCCTCCATTTCTGCGCCCCTCCCTTTATCCTCCTAAAGACAGATAAATGAACAAACAAGACAAGAGGGAATGAAAACAAAAACAGAAACAAAGAGAAAAAAAAAACTTTGTTTCCATTTTCAAACACAAACAAGGTCACACAAAAGTACCAGCACAACTATGTTCATTGCAGCATTAGTTACCATAGCCAAGGTATGGAATCAACCCAGATGCCCCTCAGTGGATAAATGGACCAAGAAAATGTGGTATACATACACAATGGAATTCTACTCATCCACTGGAAAGAATCTTTTTTTTTTTTGTCGGTCATGGGCTTGAACTCTGGGCCTGGGTGCTGTCCCTCAGCTCTTCAGCTCAAGGCCAGCGATCTACCACCTGATCTACAGAACCACTTCCGGTTTTCTGGTGGTTTATTGGAGATAGGAGTCTCACAGACTTTCCTGCCCAGACTGGCTTTGAACCATAACCCTCAGATCTCAGCCTCCTGAGTAGCTAGGATTACAGGCGTGAGCCACCAGCGCCTGGCCTGGAAAGAATCTTATTGTACCATTCATAAGAAAATGGAAATACTTGGAAAAAATTATATTAAGCAAAATAAGCCAGACCCAAAGAAACATAGGTTGCATGGTTTCCTTCATTTGTGGTGACTATAACGTGCCTATAAATCTACAAGAAAACACACTGGATAGTTAAAAAAAAAAAAATACACTGGGACATGATAAATTATACAGGTCTTTAGATCTTCATACCGCGAGACCAAAGGAGGATATTCTTAGGAAAGGATCACATAGGTACAAAAGCTAAGTGCATCTGGCCATATAAAATAATATTTATCAAAATGAACTCCTGTATGTATACATTTTTACACTAGTACCATCAAAGTGTTTTGCTGTATTTATCTTTCAACTTGGTCTGGTTGAGGGGGAGCTGGTTATTGTTTTGGTTTTAATTTTTTTTTCCGCTGAGAATTTTTTTTATTATCCTTAAATAGTTGTAAGGAGCGGCCATTTAACAAAGCAGTTTATGAATACAATAGCATATTTTAATTATGCAAAGGGGTTTCACAGAAACACTTCCAAGCCTATAGAAGATATTATATTACATATTACATCATATATTATATATCATATATAATGTCTGATGTATATAATGTACTTAGATCATATGCACCCCTCTATTCTCTTATTTTCCTTTCCCCTTTTTATTTGTATTTTTCACAATTTTAATGGGCTTCATTATTCTTGTTTCTCAGCTGCAGACAATTAACTCTGACCATGCAGACGCCCCATCCCCCCCTCCTTTCGTCCTCTCTAGCTTTGAACTGCATTTGAAAATCAGGTATAAAACTGATGGCCTCAGCCTTGTTCTTTGAGCTCAAGATTGCACTGTTGGATGTCTTTGGTGTCCCCTACAGGTTTTAGGATTTTTTTTTCTATTTCTGTTTTTTAAAAAATTCCATTGGAATTATGATTGGGGTTGCATTACACATCAGATGAACCTGGGTACTAGGAAAACCTCAAAATATTAATTCTTCCAGTACAGACTCTAATTATGTCTCCTTCCATTTCCTTCGTCCAAGTTCTATAGTTCTCAACATATAGATCCTTCGTTTCCTTGGATATAATCCCTGCATTTTTTTTATGCTACTGTAAATGGCATCATTTTCTTGATTTATTTTTCAGACTAAGATTTAGAAGCACTACTGACTTTTGCATGGACTCTCCTCCTCGGTTGTCATTTGAAAACGCAAGTCCAGTTAGACTACTGATAGTTTTGAACCAAACTAAAATGGCTTCTAGGCCACCAACGAATGAGCACTGTATCAGGGGTGAGGCATTTGTTTACTTCCAGAGCAGAGCTCTGCCAGCTGCTCCCTGCCAGGCTCTGCAGAGACGGGGTGCCAGGGGGAAGTCCCGAGGGTGGAGAAGGACGGAAGCCTGGCACCACGCTGCAGGTAACCTCTTCTCTGAGGCACCAGCAGCCCTCTGCCAGGGCATCCGCTGAATGCAAACAGCAGACACCGTGGCACCGACCCCATCCTCCCTCACCAGCGTGGTGCCAACCATGGTGCCCTCTTCTGAGATTGGCATTACAGCTCTATCTGCGACCTGTAAACCCTTCCCACCCCTCTGTTTCTCTTTGTCGCTCTAATGCTACTGCCACTCCCTGCTGTCATTACTGCAGTAATGCTGCTCATTTTGATGGTGTCACTGGGGTTTTGAACTCAGGATCTCACGCTTGCTGGGTTATTTCAGCCATAGCTCTAGCCCAGCCGTACAGATGAGTCAAAAAAAAAAAAGCCAAAACTTATTTAACCGGTTAATTTTATATCAAAGAATCTCTCAAGTAACTGGTAGAATTTCTGTCTCCTGATGATTCCCACTGATCTAGACACATAGGTAAATTGAGAAATCTTAGACATGAGGCATTGAATTCAATCTCTCAGCTTTACCAAATGAAGAGGTTGGTCCACAAAATGATCAGTGATTTTCCCCGCCCCTCAAACCCCCCAACCATGGAGGAGGACTAGCTGTTGCTGCATCCCTGGTCACCTGTCTCCCTGCTATTTACAAGCCAACCTCCCGGTCCAGGGGAATGAAGGGACCAGAGAAACAAGAGGAGCCTCTTCCGTGCTGGGTTTGGAGGCTGGGAAAGGAGCAGTGGAAGAAAAACGAGCCAATCCACCAGGGAAGCGACACATGAAATTCACGATGCCTCACAACTGGCTGAGCTATGAAACTCATTTGAAATCTGTCTCTAGCAGAAGAAATTAAGACAATAAACTTGGAAAAACAAGAGCGCAGCGGAGTGATCGAAAATGACTTCAGCATGAAGCAGAGGAGGGACTCGTTAGAAAGCCAGGAACTCGGTCACCCTTCGTGTCTGCTCCACAGGCTGAGTTGGCCATACTAGGCCCCACCCCCAACCCCTCCATGCCCTGAACTATGTAGGAAAATTAATGGTTGCTACCTGCAAAGCAGAGGGGACAGGAGAAATGAAAAGACTGCCCATCCCGATTTGATCATTACGTATCATAGGCCTATAACCAATCATATGGTAGGAATAATTATTATGTGTTGATTAACAAAATGTAAGGGAAAATATTCAGCCTTTTAAATAGCTAAAACAAAAGGAAGGCTCCACATCTGTGGGCTATAGTTTGCAGATCCCCTTTTCCAAGCGAACTCTGAGCCTCCTGTTCATCTTTCCTGGCCTCCACAACTCAGACCTCTCTCTGCTGTTGGAGATCTGATTGTCCGGTGCTTGTCAAATTCCTGTAACTGTCAGCTTCTGAAGGAGGAGGGGGAGGAAGAGGAAGAAGAGGAGGAAGAAGGGGAGGAGGAGGAAGAGGAGGAGGTGGGTGATTGGAGGAGACAGGAAGGGAGGAAGGAGGAGAAGGGAGGGGAGGAGGAAGAAGAGGCAAGAGAGGAAGAGAAAGGACCGTGCGGGCTCTGTGTCATCGAGTTCCCCATCATGCCTTGCACTCAGCATAGATGTTCACATAGTAGCTGCTCTACTAATGTTAGTCCAATAAATCAGACAGAATAAAAATAGTGCACACTCTAAAACAAGCTGAGAACAAAAGGCATAAAGGGTAAAGGAAAAGAAGAGAAACAAAAGCAACCATCGATGATCTCACTACTCGAAGATGCTCGGGGTGTTCTGGTGCATGGCTGGCTTCCCAGTGGAGGTTCACAGTGGAAAGCAGTCTCTTGATTGGAAATTTCCACCCCGGGGAAGAGCATCTTTGTGCCTGTGTTCTTGTGAGCCTCTCTAAGACATGGAATCCTAAGGTCAAAGGGGATCAGGGATTTTGTGGTTCCCAAGCTGGGTGGAAATTTTTCCTTCTAGGGAGCTGGCAAGTTCACAGATCTCACAAGTATTTCCTCCCATCATCAAAAGCTCAAGGATAGCACCCCAGCTCTGAGTTCAAGCCCCATGACCAACCAAAAAAAAAAATTACTTGCTGATAGCAGAGATGTCAGCAAAAGCTTCTGTATGGATGATCATCTTGGTTTAGCAATTAACCAAAGACAAAGAAGGCATTTCCCACTTTTTCTGCATAAATGCCAAAGAGGACCCTGAGCTCCCTCTTCCTGCAACCCCTCAAGTATTTATTTGACCCTCTGCAGGAATAAGC